GCAGATGGCTCCATTGAGTGGTACAAGGCTCGACTGTGGCCAAGGCTACTCACAGCGGCCTGGCTTCGACTACACCGAGGTTTTTGCACCCACCTCTCGCCCTGCTGCCCTGCGCCTTGTCCTTGCCCTCACTGCCATTGAGGATCTGGAGCTGCACTCTGTCGACATCTCCTCTGCCTTCCTACAGGGCGACTTGGACGAGGAAATCTACATGCAGCAACCTGAAGGCTTTGCGCAAGGTCCCCCTGGCACAGTCCTGCGTCTAGGCTGTCCTCTCTATGGCCTCAAGCAGGCTGGCCGCATGTGGAACAAGAAGCTGCACCAGGTGCTCACCTCCATGGGCTTCAAGCGGCTCGAGTCTGACCGCAGTGTGTACATCTATCTGCGAGATGAAGTGCGCATTATCATCCCTGTGCATGTGGATGACCTCACTCTGGCCTCCACCTCGCGCGCTGCCATTGACAAGACAGTCGAGGAGCTGTCTCAGCACTTCAAGCAACTCCTGTCCTGGACCTGCTCATTGGGCCGCAGTCAAGCACCTCTTTCGCTATCTGCAGGGCACCAAGGACCACAAGCTCGTCTACAGGCCTGACGACCTGGGTGCACCCTTTGTCACCTTTACAGACTCTGCTCATGGTGACTGTCCGGACTCTGGACGTTCCACCAGTGGCTACTTGGTCAAGGTTGGCTCAGGAGCGATCAGCTGGTCCAGCAAACTCCAGTCCATTGTCGCACTTTCGACTACAGAGGCTGAATATGTTGCTGCAGTAGATGCTGGCAAGGAAATACTCTGGATGCGCAATCTCATGGCCGAGTTTGGCTACACAGTGGACGCTCCCTCGCCCCTGCAGATGGACAACCAGTCGAGCATCAATGTGTCCAAGAATCCTGAGCATCATGGGCGCATGAAGCACCTCGACCTGCGCACTTTCTGGCTCAGAGACACTGTGGAGGCTGGGCGCATCAAGCCCACCTACATCCCCACTGCGGACATGCTTGCAGACTGTCTCACCAAGCCGTTGCCTGCACCCAAGGTCGCATTCTGTCGCACTGGGATGGGAATTGAGTTGTCCTAGTCTCCCTGTGGGACTTGGCAGATCAGGGGGGGTATGTCACAATGTGCTCTGCCACAGTCCCCTGGTCGGCCTAGGACGATCCCCCGGTGGCGGGAGCCACCACACCATGTGACCACATGGTTGTGTCAATTGCGGAGCAATCGGACCGGAGCACACCTTTTGGACTCTATTGTTCTTTCTTCTATTGTTCTGCCGTGGGAATGCTTTCCCCTGCTCATGTATATAAAGACCTGCTGTAGCGTCCTTTAATTCATACTTCTGTGACCCACTTCGACTTCAGCCCCACTTGTGGCATTCAGTCTTTCAGTGCTAGTCCTGTGCAACTGCTCCCTGCGTCACCTTTTGATAATACGTAGATAGCGTACATACATCACCACCGCTCAGGGAACAAACCTTTCAGCACCTGCACTTTAGCGGGTGGTGCTTGTCCTTACGAATGCGTGAACTAGGTTTCTGCTGCATACTAGCCAACAGCAGTACTGGGCCCCACGTGAACTGCAAACCTCAGGGTCTTCTTGGGCGCTGTAGGTGTAAGCTAGCTAGCACGGCCTTTGTAGTACGTGCACCTCCCCTTCCTCCCCCCATCCAACGTGGCTGCCTGCCAAGGCCAAGTTCACGCATTCGACTCTCAGGACCTCATCAACGTCTACATCCCAGATGGCCCTGAGACTATCATCTACCATTGCGAGCAGCAGCCGTGCCCCAACCGGACACCCCAATCGATCGCAGAGGATTACCCCTGCTACAAGGTGATCCGACAAGTGCAACATCCGCTCAGTCCTCGAAGCACCCTTGCATCTCAATCTGCCTTGCGGTACTCTTGCCCTGTCTCCCCCAGCTCCCGCCTTCCCCAAACTGTCGCTGAATCCAGTCAAGTACAAGGAGATCTCCCTCCAGACCCTGCACCAGAGCCTGAGTCTGAGGAGAGTGCAGGTGAAAAAGGAGTCTCGGAGCCCAAGTCCGCGGATTCTGCTCGGTCCGCCTCGCCAACAGCGCTCGCCCCCGCGTCAGCAGTCCCTGATGTACGTGACCCCTCCCCCGAACTTTCTTTGGCGCCTTCACTGCCGACTCCGCCGAGAGGCCACTCGAGCACTCGCTCCTCTCGAAGTTCGACCAGCGGAAGGCCACCACAGCCGCCTCCGCCCCCGCAATGTCCTCCGTCCCCCTCAACGCCGATAATGTCTTCCCCCTCGACCGCCCCCAACAAGGAGACCCTGAAGCTCCTCCTCCTACTCCAATATGATGGCAAAACTGTCATCGAATGCGACAGGTTCCTGTCGCAACTCCGCATTTATTGGCTGGTTAACACGTCGCTGACCACCATTGAACTCGAGGTGCAAGTTGCGTTGAGCCTGCTCGATGGCGATGCTCATGCCTGGGCCACTCCCTACTTTGCCCAGCTTGCATCGGTGCAGATGGGTGTGCAAGGGGTCACGACCCCCTTCAGGAACGAAGCAGCCTTCACTGCCACCTTCACGGCTCGCTTCGGTAATCTCGACGATGCGGCGGCAGCACAAGTGGAACTGGCGAAGCTCTGCTCAGACAAGTCAGTCCGCGAGAAACGCACCGCTGCGGAATTCTCCGCGCTGTTCAAGGGTCCGGCAGATCGCTCTGGGTATGGGGACCTGGAGCTACGCGACAAGTACCTGAGCGGCATTCCCTCCCGCGTATATCGCAAGATCGAGCTCAAGACCTTCACCACATGGCGAGCCGCTGAAAAGTGAGCCACTGAGGTTGAGCAGATCCTCGACATCAGCTGGGCCCATCGGCCCGAGTTAAACAACGTTTTCTCGGCTTGAGGACGAGGACGCGGAGGGGCATGTGGTGGTGCACCCTTGACACATGCAGCTTCGGCCAGCATCAATGCGGCCGTCGGAAAAGGAGACTTCCCCGGCACATGCTTTGGCTGCGGGAAGCAAGGGTACCGACGTTTCGAGTGCCCCAACTGTAAGGACAAGCCTTACACAAGCGTGCTGATGCGCGGGCTATGGTTGCCTCGGGTTCCACCCAGGCGGTGACAAGCGCCCCCGTCGCTTCATCCTCGGCGAGTACAACCGCCGCTTCAGCAAAATTGGAAGGTTCCGAGCTGGCGGACTTGATAGCACAGATGAAGTCAATGCACAAGGAGCTCGAGCACTATCGGGTGATGAAGGAGGAGGGTTTTTGATCCGGTCCACGCTTCGTGCCGCACGCGTCGGGCCGCGTAATAATAACATGTACAATGTATTGGCTACTGCGAATGTTTACAAATTGGACCACGGGTTCCAGCACTTCCACATTCCAGTATGCCTCAAAGGAGAAAGACGGCACAAGGATATAGTTGCAATGGTGGACAGCGGAGCCACTACGAAGTTCATCAACAAATGTTTCATCACGGAAATTCGAGTACGAATGCGGAAACTGAAAGAACCAATTCCGCTTTACAATATCGATGGAACGCTCAATAAAGACAGAAGCATCTCGGAGGTAGCCGTGCTACAGATGCAAATAGGAGATCACATCGAGAAGATGGTGTTTACGGTCATGGACATAGGTCCAGAAGATGTGATCGTTGGGTTGGATTGGCTATGAGAGCACAACCCTGAGATTGATTGGGAGTCAGGCTCCCTAAAGCTATCATGGTGCCCTGAAAGGTGTAGTGCCAGGAAGACTGGCCAAATGGAGCAAGCGACGACTACGTGTGATATGGGGGTCAGGCCCATGGCACGCAGGCATTTGCCGAAGTCCAAACGGTCGGTTATAGGTGCCTGCCGGAGTAAGGTACTCCCGGACTTCAAACCCAAAGAAGATCCGGTGGAAGTAGAGTGGGATGAGGCCGATTTGATCGAAGCCTGGGAGCAAGGTATCACGCTTCCCGGCGCTCCTCAGCTATTCGTCGCAGCGGGGCATACGTACTCCCAGCTGTTCGCTGAGGAGGAGATCAGAAAGAAGGTCGTTAAGACCGCCGAGGAGTCGGTGCCCAAGCAGTACCACGAGTTCCTGAATGTCTTCTCCAAGGAAGCATCAGAACGGCTACCCGAAAGGAAGCCTTACAATCACGTGATTGAACTCGTGCCCGGCTACTCGACGTTCCACTCAAAGGTATATCCCTTGTCGAACAATGAGCAGGAGGAACTCGATAAGTTCCTAAAGGAGCAGCTGGCGAAAGGCTACATACTGGAATCGAAGTCGCCCATTTCCTCTCCCTTCTTCTTCATCAAAAAGAAGGAAGGGACACTTCGACCTGTGCAGGACTACCGCTGATTAAACGCGATCACGGTCAAAAATTGTTATCCCTTGTCATTGATCGCCGAGATGGTGGATAAACTCAATGGTGCTACGCTCTTTACGAAGTTCGATGTCCGATAAGGATACAACAACGTCCGGATCAAAGCCGGTGATGAATGGAAGGCGGCTTTTGTGACTAACCGAGGGTTGTACGAGCCCTTGGTGATGTTCTTCGGCCTCACCAATTCCCCCGCGACCTTCCAGGCGATGATGAACGAGATCTTCCACGATCTCATTGTCGGTGGCAAGATCCTCGTATACCTTGATGACATACTCATCTTCTCTACCAACAAGGAGGAGCATGAAAAAGTCACACACGAGGTTCTTCGTCGCCTTCAGGACAATGATTTGTTCCTGAAGCCTGAAAAGTGCAAATGGGATGTTCCCAAGGTCGACTACGTTGGCTATGTGTTCAGTGGCGATGAGGTGGCGATGGACCCCGTGAAGCTAAAAGAAATCAATGAGTGGCCGGTACCCCGAAACAAAAAAAATGTTCAGAAGTTCCAGGGGTTCTCCAACTTTTACCGCCGCTTCATTAAGGACTTCGCTAAGATCTTGCAACCACTCGACCGACTCAC